TTATTTTTATGTACTATAATTCATCTTGCAAGGCACCAGAGTTTGATACATACGGAATTTTGCATAACTAAAGTTGCATCAAAAAATCATTTATGTTCATTTTTTATGACAGTCACACTTTATCGTTGCATATCATGGCTACTTCCTTAACCAAGACACTTAAAAAAGAATTTTAAAAAAGTTGCTTGGATTTGAACTGCAGACTTCTCACACACTAAACGAGAGCGTTACCCCTGCACCACTGAGAAGTAACACAAACAATGCCTGAATAAAATCAATTTATTCTAAGTTAAGAACTTCCACTGCATTTTGGGTTTGTTATCTTTATTGATTTCGAGGTATTTTTGTTCAGGATAAACCTGTTGTTTAATATTAAAGTAAATAATTAAGCGAAAATCTTCTCGCCCAAACAGTCCGACATGTAGAATCTATATATTCCACTACTCGGCAGTCAAATTTATTTGTGTAGTATTCGGAAATCGACATCGCTAAAAATAGCATTTTCATTGATTTAAGTCATATTCGTCCGCGTTATTTGTGATTGTGCATTTATTGACAATTCTATAAGCCAACGCTACTTTTAAACTTTGAATGCGTTGTAATTTGTTGGATACTTGTAACAAAATAAAAATATTTCTTTCTTTTAAATCGCTAGTAATAAGCTGTTTTAAGAACAACTTGTTGTTAGGTTTGTCGTGAAACTTCTGTGTCAGAGATTGAATGTCAGCTCTGTATTTACTGATCTTCGATCAGAAAATATAAAAAATGACTCCTTTTAACAGTTTACCGTTCTTATTTTATATATGTGATAATATAATATTGTGTTCGTGAATATTCAATACTAAATTTATTGAACTTGTTGAATTAAACTATATTATACTTACCAGAGGCTCGCATAATATGATTTTATTCAACTCTTTCAAATTTAGTATTAAACCTACACTCATTTAAAATCCTCTAATTATTACATCCCTGCGCCGCGATTTATGTGATTAACGTATTTAAGTTCTTTTCGTAATGTACCACAAACTATAAAGGGAGGTAAATGTGCAATATTTATTGTGTTAAATGTAATATCAATTATTCCCCTTCTTATGTTTTCTTTTTCCCCTCTTTTTGTTTTTGGTGAGGGTAGTTTGCACCGTACCGTCTATGAACAGGCTCTATCACACTAAGCATGCAACATTTTCAATTTTGTCGTTTTGGACTATCTTAAGGGATTCTTATTTTCTCTTTTTTTAGTTACAATATCTTAAAATGCTTGAGCATTATTTGTATATATTCAAATACTTGTTAAGTAATTTTCGGTTTCATTTTCTCAATTAAACTCTGGCGACCTTTTTGTAAAGCAAAGCGGAACGTGCGAGCGACATGCGCAACAAGGGTTGGTACTTATCAGTTCTATGAAATGTCGCCAAAATCTTACATGCATTTTGATCTAGTATGAACACTTTACACGTGTTTCTTATTTTAGCTCGAGCCGCTATTTTGTTCAGTGAAACGAACATGCCGGTAAGATGCACAAGTAGTGCTGGTTACAATAACTTTTGTTCAGTTTCAGCGAATTTCCCATTTCAGTTTGTCCTGTGACAGCCAAACAATCTTAATTCTCTATTTTTAGCTTTGGTGGTCATTTTGTGCAGAAATGTTGAATATGCCCACATTGTGACTAATAATGATAATTCCTGTGACGTTTTGTCGCAATCCTACAAGCAGTTTGACATGTGAAAGTCGGGCACAAATTTTCTATTTTTTACCTATGATGGCTACTATGTGCAACTTAGGTTAGTACCGTTATATTTTAAGCCAATTGTCCTCACAAGTTTGGACTGTGGCAGCCGGACAAGATTTTTATTTACATGTGGCGCCTATTTTGTGAGGCCAAGCAAACGTGCCAGCGATTTGTACAACTAGGGTTGGTACTGATAATTCCTTGGAAGGTTGGTCGGAAACATGAGAGCAGTATGACCTGTAAAAGCCGGAAAACGATTTGCTACTTTTAGATTTGATGGCCATTTTGTGCAACGATGCAGAACTTGCTGATAAGGTTTGTACAGCTGACTCCTCACTCCTCGGAAGTTGTTTCGAAATCCAGCCAGCAGTTTGACCAGTGAAAGCTGGGCAATCTATGCATATCTCTAGTGGTAGCTTTTGCAGCGAAGCTTAACTTGCAACTAGGTATGATAATGATCATTCCTGTGAAGTAATGTTGAACAAACAACAGTTAGAAGTTTGACCTGTGACATATTTTTTAATTAATAGCTCTTGCGGCCATTGTGTGCAGTTTAAGGGAACGTGCGGGCGATATGCACAACTATAGATAGAATTCATTACTCATGTGAAGATTCAATTAAATCCCATTAACAGTTTGACTTATGTAAAACGGACAAGCTTTTCTATTTATAGCTTTGGCATGTCACGATATGTTGCACACAACTATAGTTGCTACTGTTCGATCCTGTTTGGTTGAAATTTCCACAGGATTTGACCCATGCAAGCAAGAAAATCTAAATGCGGACTTAGAGACGGACAGACGGCGTAAACAAAATCAATATGTCTCCCACAATGTTTGGAAGATATAAAAATGCTCAGTACGTATAGGTTTTAGCTTAGTGAAACGCCCTACCAACATGAAATCAATACTGATAGCTCTAGCAAAACAAATCAACCTTTAAAAAATCTCTTTTTTATCATCTTTATAACGCGGCTGTTTGATTTCCTCGTTAAACTCATAAAGCTTTGTACTTTTATCATAAGCCAATTCCTCCACAAACCATAACTGGGTCAGCCTCATACCGATCCATTCCAAAATGTTACAGCAGATGCATTTTTCATTGAATTTCTTTACAATCGGGTACGTCTGTAAGATGATTCTAAGTAGAGTATTTTTCATTTTCCTTTATAAGTGAAAACACATCTAATCTGTCTTGCTTTTTTAAATTATAGATGGAACATGGTACATATTTGCCTCGTACAGGCATACACACTCTTCAAAACTTCGTCGGTGAATGACAGTCTAGCATTTCAAACGTTGTTATTGAGACGTAGATATCCGGTGCCTAGTTTCCAAGAACCGTATTCTATAGGTATAAGGTTTTTTTAACGCTTACTGCATTATATAGCAGTCAACAGCTTCAGATATGCAAAGTTAAGGTGCCTGGTGTAATTGTTACAGCACCCATTTTCACTTACAATGCAATGCCATGTGCTCTAGCGACATCATTGTGTATTTAGGGTACGAACTTAGTGATCTTTTATATACTCAATGTTGCATAACACATGTTAATTTGAAAATAAATAAGAATACAAATATCAAATTTGAATAATTACATATCATTGGTGACCTCTGATAGATCCAATGTTGAATAACGCATAATCATGTGGAAATAAGCATAAAATGTCCACAAAAAACAAAGTAGATTACAAATAGATATATATCTTTTAGATAACATCTTGCAATGAATTTGCAAATTAAAATCAAGCTTTTTGTAGGTACACTGTTTTAATCAAAATATGCAGTGCACAATATTATTGCCGATCAAAACCGCAAATCATTCAATGGCACAATACTTGAAAAAAGTCAATAGGAAATGTTGTATCATTTGTCATTAGTTACGAAAAATTTAATCATTTATTCGCACCCAAATGAGCAAGGGTTTATGTTATATTAAACCAATCGTCCCATTTTTAATTCAGTTTCCCTGTTAAGATGCATATGTATTTGGCTTACTATTATCGTTTGTATTTCAACGTTCATGTGTATATTAAGTATGTAGGGTATACTACAACTTTATACCAATAACAGTTGTACAATCCCCAACAAAACTGACACAAGTAAACCCGACATTACTGTAACATTTTTAATCGAAGAACGACATACTACCCAGAACATTTTTCTCATCACGTTGGGTTCAATTTTAATACGAAATACCCCAAACTGGTGTTGCTAGAATGTGTTACTTAATATCAACACTGTGTTTCCTGGGCATATTAACTAATCGTTTTTTTTAATTTCCTTGTCGGTTTCTATAATTATCTATTATGTATTATTTGAATTGACATCTCGTCCATGCTCGACCATGCTTTGCCTTGGGCTCTGTCCTGTTTTTTGTTAGGTGTCCTGCTGTGCATCTTGCTGGTAGTTCCATGTTGCGGTGTGGGGATGGGTTCATTAACTGCAACCCATCCTTGTTAATCTTGTTTTTCATATATTTTTTTCAAAAGGGTAAACATATATCTTGAGTGATCTCCCTCCCTTGAAATCATTGTTTATCCACTTAATCGTGCATGTAACATTGTCCAAACGTTCAGTTTTGGCTCAGCACAAAACAGTTCAAAGAGCAAAGTTAAAAATAAATCACTTACATTTATTTAAATGTGATCAAGTCATTGACAAGGTTAAACAAGCCCTCACAAATGTACTGGAACCAGCACTTTTATTCAGTAAATGTTGACAATGTGGAATTATGCCAATAAATATGCATTTATAGTCCTTATTGCATAAATATTAACTTCCATGAATCGGTTAAGTGTTATTTTAGCACGAAGTAGTCTCGTAAAAGCAATGTAACACGATTTAAAAGTTGTGGGATGCTTAGTCGCATGTGTAAACTGTTTTTTGGCGTTGGGCCAAAGGGAGGGTTAGGATCATGTTCCTTGCAAGATAAAGTGGAGAAAATATTTACTTCACTATAGGGATATCACTTAAGATGTTTTTTATGTAAACGAAAACAGAGAAGTTGATATTTCATTCTAGCAACGTCAATTTGAGTGTTTCGTATCGAATAACATCCAAAATGATCAGAAAAATGTTCTACGTGGCAAAGCATTCATCCTATATTTAAAAGACAAGTAAGTTCTTTCAGATCGGATGTTTACCTTCCCTAGCTTTATTTTGGCGGGGACCTCAAAGGGAGTGTCAAGGGCTATAATTTAAACATGTAAAAGAGCCATTGTGATATTATTAACGAAGGTAATACATTCCTAAATCTTTTTCTTACCTTCTTTCTTCTTTTGATAAGTGTCCTCATCGTTACCTCTTGCTAAAAACATATTTCAACAAGCATAATGCAAAATCGAAGAAAATTAACAAATAAATATGATCTTTATTGCTATGCAAAATAGAAATAATAAAATTTATTTGAATAAATTAAATGTATGGACAAAATTCTTTTAACGTGCCTTTTGTAATTTTTGATAAGCTTATGTTTGTAAGAATATATGTAGACTTAGATAACTAAAGTATTGTCTTACATTTTTCTGCAGTTTTTTTGTATCTCTATACTTTTGGCTCAGCACAAAACAGTTTAAAGAGTATAGTCAAAATTAAATCACTAACATTTATTCAAATGTGATAAAGTCTTTGACAAGGTGCTGTCACTATCGGCAAAATGAATGAGCCCTCACAAATGTAAAGGAGCCTACAATTTCATTCAGTAAATGTTGACAATGTGGATATATGCCTATAGAGTTGATTAAGACTTGCTTTCATGAAATGGTTAAAAGTTGTGTTTAGCACGTTTTCGTTAAAGTAATATTACACTTTTTTAAAAGTTGTTGGATGCTTGATCACATTTGAAGAAGTGTTAGTATTACATTTTTACCATGCCAAGAAAACTGTTGATGGAAAAAATGTTCTACGTGGCATAGCATTCATAATATCTATAAAGACAAGCATTTTCTTTCAAAGTGGATGTTTACCTTCCCTAGATTTATTTTGGTCGAGCATCTATAAAGTAAGTGTTAAGGGCTCTCATATAAACATGTGAGAGAGTCATCGAGATATTATAAATGAAGGTGGTACAATGATAAATCTTTTTTCTTACCTTTTTTATTCTTTTGATAAGTATCCTCGGTGATGTTAGCATTGTCATCGTTTCCTCTTGCTGCAAACATATTTTAATAAACATAATGCATGACGAACTCGAAGAAAATTAACATATAAGTATGATCCTTATTGCCATGCAAAATAGAAATGTTTGAATAAATTAAATGTATGGACAAAATTTGTTTAACGTACTTATTGTAATTCTTGATTAGCTTATGTGTGTAAGAACCTATGTAGGCTTATATAACTGAAGTATTGTCTTACATTTTTCTGCAGCTTTTTGTATCTCCTTTATTGCCTTTTCCTTTTCTTTGTTGACATTTTGAACGCCATCATTCGTAACACTTTCAAGAGTTTCCTTTCCTTTCCTTGTCTGACTGTCTATCTCTTGAATAGATTCTTTCACCTTAGCATCAATGGATGATTTCAGCTGGGCAAGTGAAACATTTCCCTTCTCTTCAATATCTTTTATTTTCAAGTTAACACTGTTAATTAGCTCTAATTTTCTTTCTTCAGTCTTCTGCTTGTACACATCCATCTCATTTCTTATTTGTTCCTGAATTGTTTTTCCTACATCGTCCAAAACTTTACGTACAACGTCTTTTCCAATGATCAAATCGTCACTTTGAAGCTGAAATTATGGAAAGAGGATTGAGTGCATTGAACTATTTATTATCAATCCTTAAACAATACTGTGTCATGTACATGTATAGTGCCTCAGTTCATACATGAGCAATTTATTTAATTATTTGTCTTTTTTCCTAAATGTTTTATACCCGTATTGTCCTAGTCTTTTCAACGATAAAACAATTTGAAACATCTATGAAAAGTAATTCAGGAATGCCAGGAATTTCATAGAACATTTTTTTTTAAAGATATTAATACGAGTATTTATAAATAATACTTTTTCATTTTTAATTCTATTTCAATAAGTGCAAGAATATCGGCTTAATTATTTTATTTCCTTGAGAGGGTTTTGTTTAAAAACAGTCAACAAACTATTTCAAATGTGATTTAGAGAGTAACTTTCATAAGAACTAGGAAATAATGTCAGGATTACAAAGCTAAATTTGACATAATGATTGTTTTATATGCATCATTTTTTATAATTAATTCAGCCGTTGTCTTAAGTTTGAGGGTGGCTTTACTCTTGAAACAGCTGAAAAGCTTTAGTTTGATTAATAACTTTAAAGCAATACCACTACATTTCAAGTTTATTTTATGACCTCTTATTTTGATCTAAAAATATGTGTTTACTTTTGGCATTTCTGAAACTGGGTTTGTATGTAAAACTGTAACCAAGATTTATCTTATTTCATAAAGCGCCCAAATTTAGTCAAAAACTATTCTCAAGATCTCAATTTAGTGGGTGAAGTTAGAAGCGAATAATTAAGGTTATGATCCCCGTTGAGTAGGATACCCTCACTATTATTCACATAGTCGTGACAGAAAATAGAAACAAAAATGATTACCTTTGCCAATTTCTGAATTGCATTGTTTGGTGATTTATTCATAACTACGAATCCAGGATCAGTCAAAATGTTGTTTAAAATGGTAAAATACTGTGTTAGATCTGTATCCTCAACTTCCAGATTAGGGGAATGTCTGACAGCTTTACCAACATCTCTACCCTAAATGGAAATATGTTTATACAGTTTTGTCAAGTGAAAAAAAAATCAGATACTATATTTTTTGACCATTTTATGTTAAAGATGAATCTCAACAAATTTCGTTCTGACACGTGTAGAACATGTCTTTATAGTACAAAAGATGGACAGACTGAGATTTGAAACAAATGCTTGTTTCAATAATGACTCTTTAATTGCTTTCTTATATAAAGCAAAAATTAAAGAACATTGAGAAACCAAATTAAGTATACAATAAATATGTCATCATTTTACTGTTACCTTGTCAAATATATTATTTTTCTTGGACAAATCGTCTTTTATTTTCGCCTGAAATCCTTTGTGATTAATAATGATACTAATGATGCCATTAAAATCAGTCTCTCCAGCGCTCGATGCATCCTTGTATCCGTCTGGCGGGAGATAACACTTGGCAATTTCCCAAGCATTGCTGCACCATTTTGTTGCATCTGTATTTTTATACGATGGACCGTGATATCGATGTGCTTTTTGAATCTCAGATTTTAGATTATGACAAATTTTATACGGGCAACCAGAAGGACGATACTTAGTTGCAAAGTTTTTATGATACAAACATTTTCCACGATTTACGTTGCAAATTCTGTTTGTTGGACAAACAATCAGATTTTCCGAACAGCACTTAGAACAGGTGCTTCCGGGTAGTAAGCTATTTGCAGAGGAAATAGTATGTAGACAGTTCTGTTGGAAATCTTTGACTTCATCAATAACAACTGGCTCTATTTCTTCTTTAGTATAAAACACAGCCAGTGCAGCCTTTATCCAATTGAATAATTTGGAGTTTGATAAAGGTACAGACACAGATGGCACAGCTGCAGCCATGATTTGCTCTTTCTGATACGTTAGGTCTTCGTCTTATTTTCCTTAAATTAAAAGTGTCATTGTTAATAATGGACAATGTTTGCTAAAATAACATTTTTGACCTTGTTGAAAATGGAATGATTTGCATAACAAGTGTTTTTAGTAAATGTATGAAGACATTTCCTATTTTCAATGACACATATTGATAACCGTAGGTATAAAATCTCGTTGATGTGCCCTTAAATCTGTCTATTTTCTTATTATGTCTGCGCAATGTAAACAATTCCATCATTCAAACTACAATACAATTTTGTGGGAATTGTAAGAACAAAAGTTTAAATGTTAAACGAATTTAAACTTAGATAATGGTGGTTTAATTTATAGTTGTTATGAGAGATTGGAGGAGATGAGATAAATGATGTTGAGTTAAAGTTTTTGTTTCTGCTCAGTTGTGATTTAGATTTCTTTTTGTTTTTCAACATCAACTGGTTTAATATGCTTTTTGATATAAAAAACGCAAGTATCAAGTTAGAAATCGGACTTTCGAAAGTTGTGAAGTTTTAATTTTTCATATTAATCAACACACTCAACGGAACTTAAGAAATTAAATGCGTAATTACCACCTTGCGAAGTAACAAAACTGTATCTATTTAGCAGCTACAGTCAGAAGCGTACCTAAAGGTCTAATACTTGTAATTAATTGTTTCTTATGTGTAAAAATAATTTGCCAAATAAACGTTCAGTGTCTTATTTTGTACAAAAACATTAGTTTATTGTCTAGATAACGACTTTAGCTTTACACATTTTGACCTCTTTTTTGGGTTTAATTTTACTTTTAATAAGTGGCTTTTCATTTACACTTCATTGATTTTGTTTAAAGGGCAAAAAAACCAAAAACTACAAATTTAAAAAACGGGAATTAAAATTTCCCCAAGTAAAAAGATTTTTAGTAAAAAATGTAAACCCGGGCCCCAAAAATAACTTTTCACACCCCAAAAATAAATTTGAGGGTGGGGGACCGGGAAAAGGGGTTTATGTTTTACCTTTTAAAATCCGACATTTATTTAAATATCTTGGGGAATTTTCCAGACCTTCTATTTTATGGTGATAATGTACAACTTTTTAAATTTAAAACCCCTCCCTTTAAAGCATATATTTTAAAATATTAAATGAAAATTCCCTTTTATGCACCTAATTATAGGGAGGGATACCCATTTTTTAAAATTTTTACTATAAACAAATATGAAAATATGTGTTTGAATTTAATATACATTGGGTGGTCCCCTTCTCATATAGCAAAATAGGTCTTTAGGGTCAAGTGAATACTATTTGTAGTAAAAATTGCAAACGTTATTCATAGGAAGTTTTTTATTTTGCTAAATGTATATTAGAGAATAACTGATTTACTTTCGAAGTAAGAATATATGAAACAAGAGCTGACGGAGGACAGCGACGCTTGACTATTCGAAAAAGTTATCACAAAGGTGTTTCATTAAGTATGGCAATGCTTACCTATTTGAAAAGAATAAAATTGTCTGAACTGGTACAAAGGCTTGTTATTAAGATGTTTTATCAAGTTAATTACTGCTTGATTATTAATTATGCATACAATGTTAACAAAAAGGCACAAACCCTTTAGTAGAGAAACCAGTAGACAAGCAAACTTAAACCAATAATTTCTAAGTGGAAAAGGGGCATAAGTATGCAAAAAATCATACCAGAGTTATGTAACTTGTGGAAAGCACGTTAGATATCACATGAAACAATTGTTTGTTTATGGTTTCACTACCTAACGTACAGTGACAATGTATCAAGTGTTTATAACGTGTATGAATGAGATATAAAGATATGTTTGCGGTTTTCTCCATATAACGTTTACATTGTGAAATTAAATTGAAGTAATTGTTTACGCTTGCCCTTCGATCCTGTATTATATTGTATTTTTACAAAGCACAACTTCTTATTGAATATATTTTAGATAACACAAGGCGTATACTCCGCAAGTTGCTATTATATTTCTGTAACTATCTGTAACTGACATATATTTTATAACAACATCCTTGTTTATATGAATTAGCCCATTCATTTTAAAACAACATGTTTAATAACTGTCACTTTGATTACTGTTCTGAAATGATATGACTTTAATCGACAGTTTATTAAGTATAACCTATTCCAAAACGCACTTAGATCATATTTACAATTTTAACACTATCTTGAAACTATTTTAAAGTAAAACGTTGCTTTTTTTAAAGGTGGATACTCGAAAGCTGAAATCAGAAAGATATGGTGTGATAAATTAATGCAGACTATTTTTAAGCTGCTATGCAATGCCATAACGTGAAAAATATATGTTGCCTGACATGGCTCAAACCCTTGATCCTTTGAATAACATATCTAGACGCTACCGACAGGCACACTCTCTCCCCTATTAAAAACATATAGTTTTTCATTGTAACAAATTTCCTTATCCGCTATCTTGCAATTTCACCTTGAATTTCAAACACGTACCATGTAAACTTAGACTCAGTATGTTATACCAGGATGATCCTATGTTGGGTACAAAAAATCAGAAGATGAAGAAGCTGACTGTAACTAGAACCGAGTATACATTGAATAATGTACCTTTGCTCTGCCAATATTGCTACCTTTAATAACAAGTCTGTATATTATTAAAATACTTCCAAATACAGATTCTTAATAAAGAAATAGAAAATTAAGATTAACTTCTGACATGCCCATTTCCTATAAAGAGGAAATTAAACATTTGTCAGACATTGTCAGAATACCACCAAATAGTAAATTAAAGCTTGAACTCAATGTATATTTGATAGATTTATTTACATGATAACGGCATACTGGTTAATACATATGGTCGTGCACAGAAGTGAAAAAACATAGGCAGATTTTTGTTAGAGTCTGTAGCATGTACATACAACAAACGATGATATAAATAAAACGTTATCTTTATTTGTATTAAGATATATATTGCAAGACGATATTCTAGCTCAAGGCCGATTGATTTGCTTTGTAGTCTATATTCGGTCTTTTTAATTCCTGCATGCATGTATTTTAATACTTTCAGCATATTTCATATCTTAAGTACACATAGTTTGAATATTTCTGTTCAAAGTAACATGTAATTAAAACAAAAATATCTGAATGTGTTAATTCTTTCATTCTTTCATTCAATCATTTATTCTGATATTGATGATGATTCTATTTGAACGAACACTATCAAACTAAACAGTTCAATTGTACTCAAAACACACTACTGATTAGACAAGCCTTAACTGTTAATACATGTATATATAACCTGCAGTGGACATCGATGTCAGGTGATCATTATTTGAAGCGTGCGTAAATAGTACCGAACGTGTGGCCAGATAAATGGCGCAGCACAAAACTACTCTTTTGATTTATCGTTACTGACAAGAATAGGGTTATCAGATTTTTTTTTGTTTTTTTCGATGTATATTGGCTTTGAATACATTTCATATAAAAACCAACATTATTGTTGTTTTCAGTCAGTATATAATTGCTCCATGAGGGAGCTCTTTATGAGCATAACTGGTGACATGTTTGGGGTTTGTATTCCACAGCAAAAGCTGTAGCAAATATTATTATCGCCATATATTCATGTGAAAAGAGCATGTTCTTTGGCATGTTAGATCTTTATATTGATAATTGAAATAATACAGGTTCCGGGCAAATGTTATCAATGGGTATCCTCTCCGTTTAAAAATTATTTTTGATTACTTAAAATTTCATTAATTAAAACAAAGTTGCATTCGTGCGTATATTGCTTTGCCTATGCGGTACTCTTGTTTAGCATGGAAACAGGAAATTTCATAAAACGATCTATAGTTAATATGAAACAATCTAGAGTTCATATTTTGAACAGTCAATATATTTTAATATGATAACCTAACTTTAAAATAATAATACTGGATTCAAACCAACAATCGGTTAAAAAAGCAACAAAAGTATTTAGTATAACTTACGAAGAGAAAAAGGATAGAAATGAAAATTTGAAAAGAAAATCAACTTCGGTAAGCGAAATAACTATACAGATAAATGGGGCTGGAAAAAAGGGCGGCACTGAGAAATTCATTTTATACCGGGAGATCATCAACAGTATAAAGCAAAACATTTCTATTTAACAGTTCTAACAGTTCTAAAAAAAAGCTCACCTCTTGTTCCAGCATTGGACTGAGAAAAAATAATTTCATTAAGAATGGTTTATTTATGAAATCGTACATTAAACATAAAGAGTCTAGTAACTTTAATATACTGTTTAGAAATAATAACCTAGATCTATAGGTTTTACAAAACAAATTTTTTTTTATTTTACTGATACTGATTTACTGATCAATTATCTATTAAAGCAAATCAAATAATCTATTTTTACGTGTTTCACGACTTACCCTTGTCAGTGGAAATATGTTTATACTGTTGAAACAAATAACATATTTAACCCGTATGATCTAGATTATTTAGTCAATAATTCTTATCGCAAAATACTTGATGTAAACTAAAATAAACACCATATTGGAATGTCACTGTCCCACGAATCGAATTATCATCATTTAAACCATGAACATGATGTAAAGTATACTTAACACTATCATGTCTTTACCAGTTTAACATTTTTAATGTCGACGAATAGAATGCTAGGTTCTTTAAATGAACTTTAATTCCCTCACAGCATAGCGGCAAAAGAGTAAACATGTTTTGCTTTTTTAGGTTCATGTGGTCGTTGAATGTATAATGCCACATTCTTTGCTTGCTGAAAATGATGTATGTGTGTGTTTTAAATGTTTCAAACATTAAATAAATTCTCTGAAATTATTCAACACAAATTATCATTCAATATATGTTGTTGGATGTCGCACAGTTAGTGTTTATAGCATTAATTTTAAAGATTCTGTATGTTTTGTGATTGATATTGTAACTGTGTGTATACCACACTTGCAAACATTTATATATCAATATGTATATAATTATGCAAATAAAACAAT